TTTTGTTTTTGTTCCTCCCATTTCTCCCTCCCTCCCCCTTCCTCACCCCTCCTCCTCCCCCGTTTGCCGGTGTCTGTGCTGTTTAAAATCTGTGTTACTGGGGCTTGCAGCGCCCTGGGAGATACTCCCCAGTCCACTTCTCCTGTCATACTGGGTATGAGCAATGAGGGGAAGAGCTGTATGAAATCAGGTCATGGCTTGCTGCTCGTAGAAATTGCTCTCAAAGGCAGATACTGTTCACACATGCATGGTTCGTTTGGTCTGCTCCTCCGCGTTTTTCCGTCTCTCTCTTAACCCCTTTAGGGGGCAATGCTTAAATGTTGCCTTTGTATTCCCTTAAACGAGGAGCTGGAGGTAGATGTGCGCTGTGGTGCTGCTTGCTGATTTTGCTGAAGTGATAGCAGGAATGCTTTGTGGTCCTTGCTGTGGACTAAGTTGTTTAATGTATTTGTGGAGAACAAAAGACTGTATGAGTGTTGGTACCATCGAAAAAGCCATGCTAACCTATTTTCAAAGAGGTGGTAAAAGTTGAATAAATCTGTGAATGTGGAAAGGATTGTTGCTGCAATGAGTAGTTTTAACTTTGCCTGTCGCGGATCCACCGAGTTGATTTCACTTTCTCTGAAGTCTCCCTTGCTAATACCACACTCATTTAGTTGTGAGAAAAGTGAATTTTACCTGCTTCCCTTGCAACTTCTAGGAATAAGCAGTAAAAATGGTGAAGCTGATCCCCCAAGGTCAGTGAAGGATGATTCTCCAAATCATCTTTCATTAGCAGTCATATAAAGTTATGCAGATTGATCAGGAAGGAGGGAGAGAGAAGGCAAATTGAAAAAGCAAAGTGAAGACAATGGGAACTACCAGTCATATCAGTTACAGAGACATATTTGCTGCCTCAGCTGRGTTGAACAAGGGAGGCTCCCTTCCTCCTTGTTCTTACATCAAACCTTTCCAGAACGTGGAAACTGGACATGGCTGCACCTGTGTTTAATCACAGCTCATCCACCCGCCCCTGAGCCACACTAAACCTACTCGTTTGAAATCATTCCAGTACTGAGGTCCTTTGGGGACAGGAAGAGAGAAGGTAGTCCACAATCTAATAATATTTTTGTTAGATTCTACCTGATATATGTCCTGAGAGGATGGAGGGACACTTATATAAGTGTATATATACACTTATATGTAAATATATATATATATGTGTGTGTGTGTGTGTGTGTGTGTTCTTTTAAGTTGGGTCCCTAAAATCAACCCCTTGTGCTACCTTAACTAATTTTGCTAGGCTTTTGGTAAGCCTCAGATAACTGCAGGTGATTTGCACATATATGCTCTTTGCGAAGTTAGACATGTGCAGTTTTTCATTCTTTGTCACGTACTACTCTGCCCCTCTCRTCACTAAACATTATTTCATGCTGTCTTAGGAATTTCTTCCTATTTGTTAACATCTTTTTGCACTGAGCTATGCAGAGCCTTGTGTTTTGATGCTAAGGAAGACTGCAGCTTTTTTTTCCTTTTTTTTTTTTTTTTCCTCCTGTTGGCATTAAAGCTTGTAATCAAGCAGGATTGTGTCCTCTTCAATTTGAGCACCAAAACCCTGTAGAGAAAAACTTGTGCTGCGTTATTTTGAGGATCTTGTCTCTTTCAAGCTGCTATATGTGGCAAGAACTGCTTGGGTTTATAGAGACAGTTTTTGGAGAGGAGTGGGAGAGAGATGGCTTCTCTCATTTCTTTTCACCAGGACTGACACCTTCACCCTATCTCTTTGACTTGCTGCTGAYTCGTGAATTGCTTTTGGGGGACAAGCAGCTCTTGGCCCCAAGGAGGCAGCTATTTATTTTTGAGCTTGCTTTACCTCCACAAGCAAGTGTCTGACAAAGATACTCGTTCCCTCATTCTGTTGAGTATGATCTTCTTTATGTCTGAACGGCTTTGTTACGGACTTTCCTCTTTGTGAACATGTGCAGATGTCTGCCCCTTCTTTGAGACGCGGAATCATGTAGAAGTCATTATGGTTTCTCTCCCCTTCACCTTGTGTTCTTCCATCAAGAGAGAGTCCCTCTGTGGCTGGCTTCTCTTCCCTGGATACTTGCAGCATTGTTAGGAGATTTATGCATGCTTTTCCTCTGGCCTCATGAATACTTCCCTCTACATGTCTGCTCCCCCTAAAACATGCTCTTCCTTGTTATGCATTCATTATCTCTCTGCAGCCTGTGGGGAAACTTCTCGGAAAGTCCTTGCAAATGAGTGCAAAAGCGCTGTTATTGAACAGTGCAGGTTGCACAGCTTATTTTAATTTCTCCTTTCAGTGACCATATTGAGTACAACGTATACGTTTGTTGTACATATTAACAATAAAAGATGCAAGGCGTATGTATGGTGAAGCTTGATCTTTATAACACACTCTTGCCACAGAACAAAAAAAGGTTGATATTCTAGAAAAGCATTTATTAAAAACCCGCCAGGTTGGGTACCCTCGTCATAAGCATATAATGATTTTGAAGAGAGCATCTGACTAAAGAGAAATTTAAGGATAGAATTGATAAGTGCCTTTATTTCCTCTGTTTATTTTTAAACGTGATTTAATATCATGCTACTGTTGTACATGTCTGTTTTTTTTAAAAAAAATCTGTATTTTATCAGGAAGCTTTATGCTGTCTTATAGCAGTACAGTTAAGAACATACTCCTTTCTAATGAGTGACTCCACAAATTCAGCAGTTTTTCAGTTCTTGAAACCTTACCATTAAGTTTCTGCATGTCCAGTCTTGGACCAGACATACCTCTTCTGTCTGTATGTGCTCTCTTTGGCGACTATACAACCTCATGGACTTCAGTGGGTGTGTACAAATCTAACTTACGGGAGTTTAGTAAGTAATTCTGTTGATGTTGCACAGGCAGGAAGTTGGCTGTTGGGTGGTACAAACTGTGCAATGGAAACAGACCCCAAAAGATGGGAGAAAACCCCCCTCTTAGTTACTTATGTCAGCCACTCTTTTGACCTGTGAAGAACAAATCTGCCATTTTACGTGGACACTGTTCTTGCATTCACTTCACGAAAAGTGAACCCGTGCTTTCTTCTCAGAAGCACGGATTGCACTTTGAAGAAATATTCCCCTACCTCCAGGAATAGCACTTTATTTTAAGTGTGCTATTAATACATGCACTGTTAAAAAGGCAAATATATAATGCAGTATTATTTTTATGGAAAATGCTGTCTTCTCTCTAAAAAGTCAACATGCAGCAGGCTCCYCCTATGAGGGGGGTGCTATCTAAGAACTGTTCTAGAGACCATTTCTGAGAAAAGAAACAGAATTAACTTCTTCCAGGCATTGGTTTCATTTTTCTAGGCCTGCCGAGGCTCCTATACATTCTGATACTCGGGGCTTGCTTGTCAAGGAGATTTCAAACCAGTGTATGCAAACATACATGCATACGCACAAGTACACAGAGAGGAGAATAGAAGAGTTATTCTGGGAGTAGGGAAGATGCAGGGCAGGCTAAGAACACACCAAAGTCTGCAAAATGTAGTCTTATATATGAAGCATAGGTCCTTAAGGTCTTGGTTCACTTTAGGATGGAAATTTTTACCTGCCCGGACCTGTATATGGAAACATACGCCACTTCATTTCCAGACTTTTTTTTTTYCCCTTCTCCAAGCTTGCCATGTAAATGAATCTTCTGCTGATTCAGCGTTTTCTAAGTGCAGGTTTTCTCTGCGCCRTGTCTCTGAAAAATATTTTGTGTGTAAGCCATGTAATTACATGCTGTAAGCTATAGATTGAGGACTGCTAACTCTTACTTATTTCTTTTTTAAAAAAGCTTTTGATTTTGCGAGGTGAAACACGGTGTGTTCTTGTTCCTCCAAGTTAATGCAAGACTTTCAAAGCTCCCTGAATGACCTGATCTTTCTCCCGCTTACCACAAACCACCCACATGATATGAACCTGTTTGGCCCAGCTGACCACTTCAGAGGCACTATGTGGGATACAGAAGCCTGTGTGGGGGCCCTTTGTGTCAGACTTAGCACAGGTTCCCTCAGATCCTCGGATGTCTACAACTGGAAGCAGAGTTCCTCAGCAGAACTTCTTTTCTTCCAAACTATTCCTTAGGGAAGGAAGGAGTTTCACAGGAGAGAGGATATTATTTCAAAGAGGTTTCTGGACAAGATTTAGTTTGGCAATCAAAACTGAGCTTCCAAATGWTATGTTTCACTCACTGCTAGAGTCGATTTGATTTCAGTGAGCGGGATCAGAAACACTTTCTGAACCAGGGAAGCTGTTTTAAATTACTCCTCCCTGTCTCTCAGCTAGGAAGAAGAATTGCAGCTGGAAACGCAGCCAGATTGTGCTGTTTGCCTGCAGTTGTTTCCYAAATTGTCCCTTCCCATACTAATGTCAGTACACTTTGAGCTGGTGCCAGCAGCAATGGGAATGCAAACATRTACTTGCTTTTTCACTTCTCAGGAAGTTTGGTAATCTTATTTGGAACATATGTTGTTCATAAAGAGGCCATAATATTCCCAGTTATCACTGCCATCATTGTGGTGTCAGGAATAGAATAGTTCTTCTGGGGAGTATTCTTTTAATTACTGATGGAGACAGGATCTATGTGCCCTTCTTTTCCCTCAATACCACACCTTCCTTATTGACCTTCTGTGCTAGACATTAGCAAGGTTGCAGTAAGGCATGTTGAGGATTTGAGAGACAGAAGAATTTGTGCTGACCTGTGTATACACTAGCAGTTAGAGGCTTGAAAGAGAGTTGTCCATAATTTGCATTTGTCTTGGTTTTGTGTTCTGCAGGAACACAGAGGTGGAGTTAGAGGCTGAAAAGTAATTAGTTTGCTTTTGGTGTCTTAGTATAGCATCTTTTTGCTC